CTTCCCTCCTCTTTAGTTTTTGTGCTTTGTTTTCTTTCGTTTTCCTTCTCCCTCCTCTTCTTTCTTTGGACCCAGTGCTGAGGCCATCCACCTCCAAGACTGGACTGTTGAGGGTGTGTCCATTTGGCTGTCCACTTTCATATCTGGGCATCAACGTGGAAAGAAATGTCAGAGTGGGCAGTGCCAGGCTCCAGGGGTGGGGGTGAGGGTGGCACTCTAAGGCTCCAGGACCTTCAGTCCCCAGAGTGCAGGGAGAAGGAACCTGAGCCTGGGACCCTGGAAGCTGCTCAATCCCAGGCCCTGGAAAAGGGGCTTTGTGTGGGGTATGAGATCTGACTGGTGTCTCCTCACTTCACCTGCAAGTAGGGCAGATTTACTGCAAATGGTCTCCTGGCCAGTTTACACAAGCAGGTCTTGGTGAGAATTGCTGTGGTCCAGAGAGGGGACAGCCAAACACAAGTCCTAAGAGATGGGAACAGCTTTTCTCAGGTGCTATAACCCGGGCTTTCCAGCAGGGGGTGCCCTGTCCCAGCAAAATGCAAGTCTTCTTCCTGACGCCCTCCTGGCCAAGAAGAACGGATTCCCTTGGCACTGATGGGGGTTAATCTGTGCTAGCAGCTGAGCGGAGAGGGCCCCCAGGGGGACATAACAGTGTTGAGAATCTGGTGTCCTGTTTAGGAAAGGTAGATCAATCAGGAGCTGAAAGCCCACCATCCCCTTGAAATATAAGACTGTAAATTTGACCTTGCAGAGAGGAAGTCTCGCATGTGAGAGGGAGCAAGAAAGTGAGCAAGAGAGGGAGAATGAGCAGGGTGAAAGCAACTAGGAGAGAAAAGAGACGAGGTCTAAGGCCTACCTAAGGGTGTTTTTGGAAATACAGTAACAGGAGAGGCATAAATTGGAAACCCCGGCCACCCATCCTAAAGCAGAGTACTTGGTCACCTTCATTTTGACACTGACTGCAGACTAACATTTAATCTAAAATTGCTCCATAATTCCTGAGCTGCACCCATTCATTTATACTTTATAGATACCGACTGCTAACTGGAGGGAACTGGATTATGCAAGGGTTGCTAAGAAGGTAAGGCAGGGGTTGCTTAGTAACCAGGAGTCTCTTGGTGATAGAGTGGCCAGAGCCGGTCTGGAACTGATGAAGGGTCTGTGGACAGAGTCATCCCACACCAGAGCCTCCTGGAAGCTCAAGTCTGTTGGTCTCTTGATCCAGAGAGGCCAGAGCCAGCCTCTCTTCCATCTCCCTGGCACTGCACTATGTGAAATGTGCACCCCAGGCTCCTGAGTGTCCTGGCTAACCCCTTGCTCCAACCACTCTCTCCTCGACCCCTCAGGCAGGAAGCTGATCAGATGCCTAGATCCAGGAGTTAGCAGGGCTCCTGATGGGGGGTGGCGAGCAAACTGGAATCCCACACTTGGGGGTGCAGGAACTTCTGGGCTAACACCGATGTGGAACTGGTAAACCTGAGGTTTGGGTGTAAGATGGTCCCCTCAACAAGCACCTAATATTTTTCCAGTCACAGGGAAATGTCTTAATATCGAGTCTCCCATGCCAATCCTCATCCTGCCTCTACACTGTCTACTGTAGTCCACCTTTCTCTTCCCGAGGGCAGTCGTGAGGGCATGGATCCCACAGTAGCTGCCTGGACTGGGCTCCACGCAGCCTCATGTCAGGTAGCTTTACTCCACTGTGGGCCTGGGCACTGTCGAGGCATCCGGAGCCACAGTCTACTTTCTCAGGGATGAGTCCTCATTCTCCCCACTCCAGGCACACTGGTGTCCCTGCTCTCTCCCAAACACCCAGGCATTCACACCACTCGGCGCCTCCCTCATTCTGACCCCCTAGACTAAGCATCAGCTGCTTTCCCTGTCAAAACTTTCCTCAACGTTCCAGGTCTTTCTTATACCTGACTTCCTTAGCGATGACTCTCCCAGCCCACTGGATCTGAACTCTACCGAGCACCCATGGACTTCAGGCACTGGGAGGGGCTCCGGGCCCCAGAGTGAGGGAGCAGAGCTCACTCTGGCATTGGTGGCTTCCTCATTCCTGGTCCTCTGCTTCCCCCACTACATGGTTAAAATACCAAAAAGCCAAAACCAAACCTGTTGCTGTCAAGTTGATTCTGATTCATAGCGACCCTATAGGACAGAGCAGAACTGTCCCAAAGGGTTTCCAAGGAGCAGCTGGTGGATTCCAACTGCTGGCCTTTTGGTTAGCAGTGGAGCTCTTAACCACTGCATCACCAGGTCTCTGTATGGTTAAGATACTTCCAGGAAATCCTTTGTGAATCAAATGTTTATAAACTGAAAGCTTGTTGTTAAAAACAAAACCCTTTGCATAGAACATCTCTGAGAAAGTATTTGAGACCCTACCTGGCAAGTTTGCCTCTGAGAAGGAGACTGGAAGATTTAGTTTTCATTGCATCCCCTTTTGAAGTGCTTGAATTTCAAAATTTACCATGAGCAGGCAGTCTTTATTTTTTAAAACTTTTAAATTGTGAAACATAACACATACATAAAATATATGATAGGTATCTGTGTATGTGTGTATATGTGTGTAAAAGTGGCATGGTGCAGTGACGTCAGACTTCCTTGTCTGACTTCACACAGGGGAGAAGAGAATCAAGATGAACATCAGCCCAAGGTTGATTCCTATGAGGTGAGATCAAACATACCTCCACTCTCCATTCCAAGCTTTTCACCGATTCTGACACCAGCCGTCCCTCCCACAGCACTTTCTACTTCTCTCCTGGGACGGATCATTTGTTGCAATGGCCACACAGAACTTACAGACAATAGTCATGATTGTGAGGTTTATTAGGGAAGTAACAGGTTACAGTTCAGGATCAGGAACAATTCAGGATACAGTTCTTTAGTCAGGACAGATTTTTGGCCTTGCTGGCCCTGGGCCCCTGGGCTCCTCAGTCCCTGGGCCCCTTGGCCCCTGGAGCCCCTTGGCCTGGTCTCTGCCCTGCTCAGTCAAGTGTTACAAAGCTCTTTAACTCCATCAATAAGTGCCCAGAGGCATCCCACTCCACCAGGAAGCCTCCTGCCTGAAAGCACTCAGCTCTCTTGCTCTGTGGGTTGGCACGCCCACTGTAATTACCTTGCATAGTGAGTCAGGAAGCCCACTATGCCCTCTCATGCTGGTCTCCTGGTTCTGCTGCCACTGTTTCTCTGCTGCTGCTTCTCGCCATCTTCCACCATCTCCAGTGTTACATCTCTCTCTCTCTCTCTCTCTCTGTCTCCTGGGTCTAGGAGGTTCTCGGTGCAGGGACCCCAGGTCCAAAGGACACTCTCCACTCTCAGATCTTCTTTCTTGATGGTTGTGAGATCCCCTCTTCCCATCTCTGGGATGGCTCATTTTAAGCCTAGTGGGATAGTAAAACTGACCAATCCCCTTGTTAGGGTTCCGTACACCTTATTTGCATGATCCAATCCCCACAAAGGTGCAAGGCATCTTATTTGCATTATTAGCAAGTTGTCCAATTCCCTTAGTGGGCCACAAGAACCTTATTTGCATAGTCCCACCCAATTATTTGGTGGGAGTTACAAGACCATGGCAGGAAATGCCATACAAAAATGATCCATCATACCACAATGTGTGTGTATGTTTATGTGATATATGTGTGTATGTATACACACACATACATTCATGGGTATAGATAGATGGGTAGAGTGATTAAACCATATAACCATCACTCTGGTCAGCAAGTGAGAAACCTCTTGGTATGCCCCTCCCCAATCATAACCCTCCTCTTACCCCAGAAATACCCACTCTCCTGACTTTTGTGGTAATCATTGGCTTGCTTTTCTCTGTAGTTTTATCAGCTGTTTGCATTCATAAACAACATAGTTGCTTTGACTGTTTTTGAACCTTGTATATGCAGAATCACAAATCCTTGGGTGGCGCAAACGTTTGTACTCATCTACTAAAAAAGGTTTGCTGTTTGAACCCACACAGTAGTGCCATGGAGTAAAATCCTGGCAATCTGCCTTGGTAAAGATTATAGCCAAGCTCAGTTCTACTCTGTAACACATGGGGCTGCCATGAGTCAGAATCAGCTCAATGGCAATGGGTTTAGTTCTTTGGTTAAATGTGGAATCACACAATATGGATTATTTTGTGTCTGGCTTCTTTCACTCAACAATTTCTTTTTTAGATTCATGTTGTTCAGTGTAGCTACACTTCATTAATTTTCCTTGCTGTATAGCGTCCCATTATATACATGAAATACAATGCTGTTAATGGATATGTGGGCTTGTTTCCAGTTTGGGACTCTCACAAAAGATGCTGTTGTGAACACTTCGGTACCATCTCTTATGCACATGTGACCACAATTCTGTAGGGTGTGAAACTGCAGAGTCAGAAGACTGTATTGTCAATTTCTCATTCCCAGAGAATGCCAAACTGTTTTCCAAAGTGGTTGTACTTACACCCCTTCCAGCAGTGAATGAGAGTTTCTATTGATTATTACTTTTTCAACTAGATACAGTTAATTAAGATTTGGTATAATTGTTTGGTAGCTGGCACAATCATTGGGCAGGGAAGCTCCATGGTGGGGCTGGTACTGTAGTTCACCACTGTGTTATAGCATCTACTGCCCAGTGTCTGGCATGTTGTAAGCGCTCTGAACTTGCTTATGGGATTATTGGAAAAACAGTCCTTGTCTACTCACTAGTGGGTCTCACATTCTAATTTGTCCACTTTGTAAATAGGGAATTTTCCTGGAGATATCTCCTGACCTGGGGCTCATGTGTCTGAAATTCACCATGGCCAGCCTGACTTCGTCCCCCTCTCTGCTGCTGGCCTTGTCTGTCTGGAGGAGCTGGGGATAATTATCACCATACTCAACGAATCATGATGTCACTGATAAGTGAAGCTGATTTCTTTCCCCCAGGACTGAGTTCTGCAAGAAAGAGACCAGGTGCTGGCTGCCATGTTCCAAGCAGTGGCCAGGGTCCACGGGGCTCTATTTAGTCCCTTCATGGGGATCTCTGTGAGAAAACATGGCAGTGGGACAGATCAACATGGCGTCCTGGCCAATAGAGCAGCCGAGGTCACAGGGTCCACTGAAGGGTGAGTGCCCTGATTGTGTCTTGACCCCCTCACACTGACCCTGACTTTCATAGAAGGACCTCTGAGTTGTGAGAGCAGGACACAGCCTTCCTGGTTGATTTCTGGGGCTGGGTAGAGGAAGAATGGTAGGGAAGGGTTGAGGTTGACTTCTCCATCTCTGCCTGCAGGATTGGCTTTGCCATTGCCCGGCAACTGGCCCACGACGGTGCCCACGTGGTCATCAGCAGCCAGAAGCAGCAGAATGTGGACCGGGCGGTGGCCACCCTGCAGGGGGAGGGACTGAGTGTGACCAGCACCACGTGCCACGTGGGGAAGGCTGAGGACTGAGAGCAGCTGGTGGCCACGGTGAGGGGCCATGGGGGTGAAGGGACACAGAGAGAAGAACAAACAGAACCTTTCCCTCAATCCTCAGCCCTGGGAGGGACAAGGGTGGGGCTGGGGGCTGGGAGGTTCTAGAAGAAGTCCCGAGACCATGATTGCTCACAGTCAAATTGAGCAGAACTGGTTGGTCACAGTGGCTTTCTGGAAAGTGGCCTGTTTATGCAAGGACACTCATCCCTACCCTATACCCTGGGAGAACTACGGTTGAAGAGTGGTCTAAAGGAATGAAGGAAGCCTCCAGAGGGATTCCTGGAAAAGACTTTCCTCCCCTGAGGCCTCAGTACTGGGGAACTTGCCCTTGGGCCCGTTAGGGACGCTTTCCTTCACCCTGAGTTTGGTTTTTGCAGGAGCTATCTGACCATTCCTGGTCAAAGACAGCATCTGGTCAGCAAACTCTGCCTGAGTGTCCCACATACCTGAGCTACTCTGGATAGGCGAGGCTTTCTCAGGCCGTCTCCACACTCACCCAAATTCCTCCTGGTGCACCTACAGGCCCTGGAGCACTGTGGGGGCATTGACTTCCTGGGGTGCAATGTGGCTGTCAACCCTCTGGTGGAGAGCACCCTGGGAACCAGTGAGCAAGTGTGGGACAAGGTGAGGCTTCCACCATCCCCCCCCCCAAAACAAAAACAAAAAAACTCTCCTCTCCCCTGTTACTGTAAAAGCAGGCACTGGATGACAGGCCTGCCCACTCCTCCGCAGAAGGCCACTTTCAGATGTGTTTGTTTTTAAAACTGGTTCCTACTGCCTTTCTGCATTCTTTTCTCTTCCCATCTCTTTGCATTTATTTATTCAGCAAGTATTTACTGAGTGCTTGCTATGTGCCAGGCACTGTTCCAGCCTCTGGGGATATAGCAGTGAACATGCAGTAAGGTCCCTGGGCTCTGTAAGAGTCAAGAATCCAAATTTTTTGCATCCTTTTGTGGGAGCATATATTGGTAGTTGTGCTCCTCCTTGGTGACCCATATCTGCTGCTGAGATTCTCTACCTTTCCTAGATTAGGGCTCCTCACTATCCCTCAGATGACCCTACTGCACCTGTTGGGACTGGAACCCCCATCAGCATTATGGGGGCTCAGACATGCCAACCCACTTATGAGTCCACATAACGATTCTGCTACCTCGTCCACAAGGTCCCAGGAGAGACCCTGTAAAATGCCTTGAAGTCCATCTTGGGCTTTGTTATTCTCTGATATCTGTTTGTTCCTGTCCTGTTGCCTGTTCCTCCTGGAAGATCAGATGCAACCATGATCGAATCCTGTTCTTTCTACCATTGTCAGCCTTCCCCGCTCTGCCCTGAGCGCTGGGCCAGAGCCTTTCCTCCTGGCTGTCCTCAGTGTGTTCTGCTCTCTCAGCTCTCTCAGCTCTTTTGCTGCCATCGTTCTCAGGCTGGCCCCTCCTTCCTATCTGCCCTTGGCTCTGTGCCCTTCACTCCATGTCAGAGATAACCAGAAATCCGAGCTCTCTGCACCGACTGTGAAGCAGCCTCAACAGGCTCTTGAGCTACGTTCTTAACACCGCCAAGGATTGTTTGCGATTATGCAGCTGGGATTTCAATGCTGACATTCTCCTGGCCCTCCTGAAGTCATTTTCCTTTCTAGTGTATCAGTTCATGGGATCGTGACTCTCTTTTTCTTGGGATGGTTTGAAATCCCCCTTCCTGAAGCTGGGGGCACACGCCAACAACACTGACCTTGCTTTCTCTGGTGCACCCCTATTCTCCAAGGACTTGGTACTCAGCAGGCAGTTCCGCACCATTGGGTGGAAATAGTTGATGGGGTAATTGTCCCCCAATCTCATCTGCCACCACCTTGGAGGTGAAATTATCATAAAATGAATTTAGAATTTATCAGATGTTCTGTTTTTAACTGGATGCAATTTTCGATGGGTGTTCTGTGAGGGGACTTCCTTGTCACTCAGCTTATCTTTGAGCTAGCTTTGGGACCTCCCCCAGGCAGACCCCCATTCTCTCCAGCTGGTTGGGAGATCTCTAATCTAACCACATAGCCACATCTTCCCATCTCTCTCCCTCACTCAAGGCCTTTCTCCACCCTCCTTTGGGCTCATGGGGCTCCACTCAGGACTTCTTGGCACACAGAGCTCCTATTCCTGCTTCTCTGAGGGCAGTTTTCCTCAGCAAGAGAATGCTTCTCACCTCTCCCATGGCAGAGCTCATGTCTGGCCCCTGAGCCTAGGGGAGTGCTTTTCTCAAGCCATTGCCCAGTCTGACGCACACTGAGATTTGGGCAGACATCTATGGGCTGGTGGGGCTCTGTTTTGAACGGAGAGTTACCAAGCAGCCCTTAGCCTAACTCTCCATTCCTCCTTATTGGCGACCCCATGGCAATCCCCTCTTGGGACATACTAGTCACTTCTTGCCTTCCTGGGGATCATCCGCAACACTGGTAACTAGTCATGAAATGGGCCACAGCAGCCCAGCTGAAGCATTTCCCACTGCCCACAACCGAGGGGGTGAGCACACGTAGGATGAAGGGGTGGAAGGATGGAAAAGCTGTAGACAGGCCCGGTCAGTTATAGATGTGCAGCCTCATTCCTAGAGAGGCAGGACCCAGCTGATCTCATTAAAGACTCCCCCACCCCCACCCCAGGACTCACAGGCAGGGTCCCTGGTGCCTCTTTAGTCCCAGCTGGCACTCTGTCCCAGTCCCTGGGCTTGGCCCTTGCGTCGTTCCTTGCTAGCTCCTTTCTTACTTCTCCCCTGTCCCCAGATCCCAGACTGAATTTCAGGGGCCCTTATGTCTGAGCCCAGGTGCAGGCCTCAGTCACAGGCAGGATTAGCATAGTCACCTAACTCCCAGAATGGTAATTCTCTGTGGTGCATCCCTCTTTGAACTGGCTCCAGATAGCTCCGAGCTGAGTCTGTGGTGCACAGGCTCCCAGCACGCATTTTTGTGAACAAATAATAGACTAATACTCAGTCCTTACCATGTGCCTTGAACTGTGGGCACCAACCACGTTCTTGCTTTTTCTTATTTTTCTACCCTTATTTTTCCTATTCCCTGTTTTATCCAGTTACATTGTGAGCATGCCTTAAATTCTATTGGGACAAGACAAATTCTATTGGGGGGCACCAGAAAAAGCAAGGTCAGTGTTGTTGGCTTGCAACCCCAGTTCAGGAGGAGGGATTTCGACGTAAACAAAAAGACACAGAAAGACAAAGAAGACTCTTCTAGAAATCTCCCTTGCTTCCAGCACCTGATCCCCCTCCATCTGTTCTGTCTTCAATCTTTTTCCAGTGGTTTCTGCTTATGCCTCTATCGGCACAACCAGAATATGGTCCGGTTTCTTTAAAATGCTTGGCATTTCCTTCCTTCACCACAGTTATGAATAATTCACATTTTCAGGGTTTGGCTGACAGGCCTGTCACTTAGCCTGCCTGCCTGTTAACTCATTAGCAACTCAGAAACACCCCTTGCTCCAGCCAGAAGGGGGATTCGTCCCTCAAATCTGTACTCATAGTGTAGGGTTTCTAGTGTCTTGTGATCATGAGCCCTGGGCTGACTGTCTCTCTATGCCCTTCCTCATGCCCCTGACCTGATTTCAGATCCTGGGTGTGAATGTGAAGGCCTTGGCCCTACTGCTGAGCCAGCTGCTGCCCCACATGGAGAAGAGGGGGTATGGCTGCAGGGTGGGGTGGGGCCTGGTTGGACGTGGGGAGGCTGAGGTGTAGGAGTTGACTCTGGAGCACACAGGGGCACAGCTGGGAGGGGATGGAAGACAGACGTCTCCCTAGGGATCTCTACATTCCCACCTCTCCCTCTGCCCTGCCTCAGCCTTTGGGCGGCTACAGCTTTGAATTCCAGTGGTTGCAGGATGAGAATGATGTTCCAGGGGTCCAGGCATGCTCTCCTTGGCCTTGACATCAGCAGGTTGGGAAGGGGCTGTGCTTTAGCTTGTGGGCTGGTCATTTTCACCCTCACCTACTCTCTGGTCCTCTCAGAGCTGGACAACCCCTCACCAGCTTGCATCCTATGACAGAGTTTGCCTCATTTCTCCCCACAGGGAGAGGCCCATCTCAGACTGGCTAAACCCCCAACCCATAAGTCTCTGCGACCCCACCTAATGCCCTGCATATTGGTCTTCAGGGGCCCTGCCTCTGTTCCAGATCCTGCAAACCTGACTGTACTCCACATGTGCCCCCAGGGGTCTCATGTTAGGGACTTGGGTCACTGTCTCCCACGAGACACAGCATCTCCTTGGGCTTCTCCTTATAGATGCAGCTTTGGGAACTGTCTGGGGGCTGTCCTGGGTAGAAGGAAAAGTTCCTGGCTGTTGTTTCTTATCTCCCCCTGCCTCATCTGCTTCTTGGAGACTGCTCACTGACAAGCATTCACCCTCAGCCCTGAGCGCCTCTTCACCAAGCCCACTCTGCCCTCTCCACTAAGGAGGCAGAAGAGTGTAATGGTTATAAGCATGGACTTTAGGGTCAGAGAGATAGGGTTGGAATCCCAGATTTGCCATTTATTAATTGTGTTACTAACCCTCTCTGAACCTCAGTTTCCTCAGCTGTGAAATGGGGATAATAATAGGACCTGCGTTGTGGTTGTGAGGATTGCATTATTTAACAACTGGCTTGTAGTACCTCAATAAATGGTAAGTTATCAGCTTCATCTCTCCTCTTGTTTCTGTCTGTCTCCTCATAGGAGCAGTGTTGTCATTCTGGTCTCTTCCGTTTCGGCTTATATGCCACAAGTGGTAAGCGCTTGGTCCTCGTGCCCTGGTTGTGATGGGGGAGGGGCTCCACAGGGACAGTGTCCAGGACAGACCCCTGACCCCTACCTTACTTCTGCTGCCCTGGGATGAGCTTGAGCTCATGTGGCTCCCTCAGATCCAGCTTTTGTTCCTAGACAAGGAGAATGTGTCTGAGCTCTGGGCTTGGGGCAGGCGTGACCCTCTCTAGGTGAGTGCAAAAGCCCATAACACTCTTAGAAACACAAATGACACTTTGTAGCTCCCCCCCAGCCCCATCCTAACATGCTCTTGATTCCCTTCCCAGGAGCTGGGTGCCTACAAGGTCAGTAAGACAGCCCTGCTGGGTCTCACCAGGATGCTGGCACTGGAGCTGGCCTTAAAGGACATCCGTGTGAACTGTCTGGTGCTAGGAATGATCAAGACTGACTTCAGCAAAATAGTGAGGACTGGGTGCCTCCTTGTTCCTCAGCCTGGCTCAGTGGAAACCATCCCAAATGACTAAGGGATCAAGGGGTGACCGAAGTCCCAGAGCAGCATCCTTACCCCTGAAGTCCTCACTTTCCCCTGAACTCAGCCATGACTCAGTCCATCAGCCCTGAGAACACGGTTTTTCTCCTGAGAAAGGCAAACCTGCCACGGCTGCTCACACGGGTGACCCCATGGGGCCCTGCCCATCTCTTTGTTTCAGCCGCAATGATTCTTTCGTTTCTTCCCTTTGCCCAGCTACACAAGGATAAGGCTTTCTGGAAACACTTTAAGGAAAACCACCGGGTGCAGAGGCAAGTGGGGTTTGGAGCTTCAATGGTCTGGATACAGTTGGGGAGAGGAGGCTGTGCTTGTCTCAAAGCAGACCTCCTCCTACTGGCCATTCCTTTTGCTGAAATTCGGGGTCAACACAGCCCTGGAGGGTGCATGTGGCTTTTCTGAGTCCACCCTGTCCCTCCATGGAGCCTACCCCACCCGTGGCCTGTGCCCTCTAGAAATCCCGACGTGAGGATGAAGGGTGTGCTGGCTCTCTCTGGAGCAGTAGAGCCAGAGCCCGAGACCACTAGCGCTGTGTTCTGTTCTTCCATCCATGATTGGGTAGCCTGAGGACTGTGCAGCAATTCCTGTGCTCCCCAAACACCAGCTACATCACTGGGAAGAGCATCATGGTGGCTGGCTTCTCCCCCTGGCTCTGAGGAGGCTGGGGGCTGTGGAGCTGCAGGTCTGGGCTTAGAAGCCTGAGGGTGGGTGGTCTAGGAAGTCATTGGGGACAGAATCGGAAGCTAGCACTCTAGCTTAAAAATGCCAGGCAAACAATTTAGGGGCTCGCTCATGCCAGGCTTGAGGAAGAAGAAAAACCCTTCAATAATCTCAATTTTGAGGGAGTGGGGAGGGAAAAACACTAACTAGAAAATAGATAAGTGGTAAATTTGATGAAGAGTAAGACAGTACATGCAATCAGGGAAGTCAGCACAACTTGACCAAGTCGAAGTCAGTCATAGAAGCTTCACAGACGCATCCAAACTCCCTGAGGGATCGAATTACTGGGCTGAGGGCTGGGGACCATGGTCTCAGGGGACATCTAGCTCAATTGCCGTAACATAGTTTATAAAGAAAATATTCTACATCCTACTTTTGTGAGTAGCATCCGGGGTCTTAAAAGCTTTTAAGTGGCCATCTAAGATACGCCACTGGTCTCATCCCGTCTGGAGCAAGGGAGAGAGAATAAAACCAAAGACACAAAGGAAATATTAGTCCAAAGGACTAATGGACCACAACTACCACAGCCTCCACCAGACTGAGTCCAGCACAACTAGACGGTGCCTGGCTACTGCCACTGACTGCTCTGACAGGGGTCACAATAGAGGGTCCTGGACAGAGCTGGAGAAAAATGTAGAACAAAATTCTAACTCACAAAAAAAAAAAAAAAAAAGACCAGAGTTACTGGTCTTATAGGAACTGGAGAAACTCCAAGAGTATGGCCCCTGGACACCCTTATAGCTCAGTAATGAAGTCACTCCTGAGGTTCACCCTTCAGCCAAAGATTAGACAGGCCCCATAAAAAACAAGACTAAATGAGCACACCAGCCCAGGGGCAAGGACTAGAAGACAGGAGGCGACAGGAAAGCTGGTAATGGAGACCCATGATTGAGAAGGGGAGAGTGTTGACATGTCATAGGCTTAGCAACCAATGTCATAAAACAATATGCGTATTAATTGTTTAAGGAGAAACGAATTTCCTCTGTACACCTGCATCTAAAGTATGACAGTAATAAAAAATTCTTTCTGATTTAAAAAAAAAAAATTCTCAATTTTATGTGACTGTTGTAGATACAGCTACTGTGACCTGACCAACTTGTAGGGTTCCTGGTGTGGAGCTGTGGTGCTTAAGGACTTAAGGACTTCAGGGGCCTTGTGCATTTGAGAAACCTTATGAGAAGCCCAGGCCTCTGAAGGATCCTGAGTCCTTCTCTATGTAATTTTCACTTTAAAAATTTCTTTCCTAAAGGGAAGAGGCCCCAGATAAGTAAAGCATTACGGCAGGAGAAGAACAAAGTGGGAAGACTCACACTACCTAATTTTAGAACCTATTATACTGCCACGGTAGTCAAAACATCCTGGTACAGGTACAACAACAGTTACATTGACCAATGGAACAGAATTGAGAATCCAGATGTAAATTGATCCACCTATGAGCAGCTGATATTTGACAAAGGCCCAAAGTCCATTAATTGGGGAAAACGCAGCCTCTTTAACAAATGGTGCTAGCATAACAGGATATCCACCCGCAAAAAACTGAAACAAGACCCATACCTCACACCATGCACAAAAACTAAGTCTAAATGGATCAAAGATCTAAATATAAAATTGAAAATGATAGAGATCATGGGAAAAAAAAATAGGGACAGTATTAGGAGCCCTAATACATGGCATAAACAGAATACAAACCATAAGTAACAATGCACAAACACCAGAAGAGAAACTAGATAACTGGGAGCTCCTAAAAATCAAACACTTATGCTCATCAAAAGATTTCACCAAAAGAGTAAAAAGACAACCTACAGACTGGGAAAAAATTTTTGGGTACAACAAATCCGATCGGCGTCTAATCTCTAAAATCTACAAGATACTGCAAAATCTCAACAACAAAAAGTCAACTCAATTAAAAAATGGGCAAAGCATATGAACAGGCACTTCACCAAAGAAGACATTCAGGTGCCTAACAGACACATAAAGAAATGCTCACGATCATTAGCCATTAGAGAAATGCAAATCAAAACTACAACGAGATACCAGCTCACCCCCAACAAGACTAGCATTAATCCAAAAAACACAAAATAATAATGTTGGAGAGGTTGTGGAGAGACTGGAACACTTATACACCATTGGTGGGAATGTAAAATGGTACAACCACTTCGGTAACTGATTTGGTGCTTCCTTAAAAAGCTAGAAATAGAAGTACCATATGATCCAGCAATCCCACTCCTTGGTATATATCCTAGAGAAATAAGAGCAGTCACATGAATAGATATATGCACACCCATGGTAATTGTAGCACTGCTCACAATAGCAAAAAGATGGAAACAACCTAGATGCCCATTAACAGACAAATGGATAAACCAATTATGGTATATTCACACAGTGGAATACTACACAACGATAAAGAACAATGATAAATCTGTGAAACATAACATGGAGGAATCTGGAAGGCATTATGCTGAGTGAATTTAGTCAGTCAGAGAAGGACCAATATTGTATAAGATCACTATTATAAGAACCCAAAAAAAGGTTTAAACACAGAAGAAAACATTCTTTGATGGTTACAAGGGTGGGGAGGGAGGGAGAGGGGTATTAATTAACTAAATAGCAGACAAGAATTATCATAGGTGAAGGGAAGGACAACACACAATACAGGGGAAGTCAGCACAACTGGACTAAACCAAAGCTAAGAAGTTTCTGGAATACAACCAAACACTTCAAGGGACAGAGTAGCAGGGGCAGGGGTCTGGGAACCATGGTTTCAGGGGACATCTAGGTCAATTGGCATAACAAAGTTTATTAAGAAAATGTTTCTCATCTCACTTTGGTGAGTGGCGTCTGGGGTCTTAAAAGCTGGTGAGCGACCATTTAAGATGCATCCATTGGTCCTAACCCACCTGGAGCAAAGGAGGATGAAGAACACCAAAGACACATGGAAAGTATCAGCCCAAGAGACAGAAAGTGCTACATAAATCAGAGACTTCATCAGCCTGAGACCAGAAGAAAGCGATGGTGCCCAGCTACCACCAATGACTGCCCTGACAGGGAACACAACAAAAAGTCCCTGATGGAGCAGGAGAAACGTGAGGTGCAGAACTCAAATTCTAGTAAAAAAACTAGGCTTAATGGTTTGACTGAGATTGGAGGGACTCTGGAAGACCTGGTCCCCAAACTCTCTGTTAGCCCAAAACTATAACCATTCCTGAGGCCAACTCTTCAGGCAAAGATTAGACTGGACTATGGGACATAAAATGATACTCGTGAAGAGTGTGCTTCTTAGCCCAAGTGGACAATGAGACTAAATGGGCAGCTGCTGTCCAGAGGCGAGATGAGAAGGCAGAGAGGGTCAGGAGCTAGTTGAATGGACGTGGGAAATCCGGGGTGGAAAGGAGATGTGTGCTGTCACAGTACAGGGAAAGCAACGAGGGTCACATAACTATGTATGTATAAATTTTTGTATGAGACACTAACTTGAATTGTAAACTTTCACTTAAAGCACAACAATTAAGAAAAAAAATTTCTTTCCTAAAATAAACTCAAATTTATCCTCAAGTCTGAAAACGTCTGGCAAGGGTGGAATATGACTGAGGATAGAGTCTCTCCTGTCTCTTGCCTTGTTTTACTGCCCTGATTGCAACACAGACTGGTGGTGGTGGGGATGTGAGTGGGTTATTTCACAGGAGGCTTTTTGCACCTTTCTCTGAGCTGCATCTGGCAGAGGCTAAGCAAGTCTGTAGGGGGTGGCAGGAGAAAGAGAAAAGATCTTGGAGTTCTCCTTGGGGCTCTCCAGGCTAGTAATTCTTCTTTTAAAATTTATTTTTGGTGAAAATATACACAGCAAAACATACACCCATTCAATTTCTACAAGTACAATTCATTGACATGGGTTACATTCTTCATGTTGTGTCATCATTCTTGTTAACTCTATCCAAATTATTTCACCACTTTTGAATTAGATTCAGTGCCCCCTAAACTTCTCATCTATGCTTAGAGTTATTGTTATCATTTTGATCTCATGTACATAATTCTTTAAGAGAGGACCAACTCAAGACAGTTTGGTTGGATAGTGACTTCAGGGGATAGTCTTAGTTGAAAGTTTAAAGATTATCTCAGGGCATTTGATTCAGGGGTTCTTCCAGTCTCAATAGGTCTAGTAAGTCTGGATTCCATAAGAATTATAATTATTTCCACATTTCTCCCCCTTTTGATCAAGATCCATCTATTGAGACTCTGATTAAATCGTTCAGTAATGGTAGCTAGGCACCATCCAGTTCTTCTGATCTCATGATAAACGAAGCAGTAGTTCATGGAGGCAGTCAGGCCTGCAGCCTGTTTCCTTCTTTGATTCCTCAGTCCCCTTCCTCTGCTGCTCCAGGCAAATGGAGACAAATTGTTGTATCTTGGATGGTGGCTCGCATAGACTAGTAATTCTTAACGTTTTCTAGACCACACAGGCCTTTGAGAACCTGAAGAAAAATAGCCATGCCAAATCTTGTGTACAATTCTATGTTAAGAGCTCCTAATACAGACAGAGGACAGTAGCCAGCACTGAACTTCCTCTTGGGAGTAGGCCAAGAGGAGGATCCTTTGGAAAAGACCCTTTGTATTGACCTGAGTCATATTTGGGGACACCACCCATCTATGTGTACATGTCCAAGGTTCAGCACAATCAAGGAGAAATGGTGGCCTTCAGTCACCTGTAGCCCCGAGGACACCTCTTTTGCCATCCATAAGTCTTGCCCAGATATTCTCTCATGAATAGGTCAGAAGAGAGGGCTGAGATAAGGCTTCCAACCTGACCACTGGCCTTTGTCTCACTGAAGCCTCCACCAGTGCCTCCTCTGTGGACCTCCAGGCATGGATCCCTGTTGTGAGAATAATTCAATTAAAAAACATTCATTACTCCCTGCTACAAGTCATGCATTGTGCCAGGCAC